TTAATCCTTAATTCTATATCTACCAAAAAAATATTCTTCAGAAACCAAGGGGAAATAAAGACCTTCAGATGATGAAGATGAAGGAAAACTAAGAATTTGGCACCAGCAGGCCTTATCTTGAAGACTAACTAGGAGCACGTGGGTGGCTCTGTCAGTGAAGCATCTGCCTTCCTCTCAGGTCATGATCCTGGGATTCAGCCCCACATCGGACTCCCTGCTCAACTGGGGGGATCTGCTTCTCCCTCTGCCCCTCCCCCCGCTCTTGTGCTCGTTCTCCCTTGCTTGCTCTCTCTCAAATAAATAAAATATTTTTTTTAAAAAAAGTATAGCACCATCTGATGTGGTGTTTGGAGTATCAACAGTGATGTTGATAGGAAGGGTTAAATGAACATAGATGGAAGTAAGGTTTCTGCACTTCAGTCAAAGTGGTAAAATGTCAATATGAGCATGCTGTGTTAAATTAGGTATTTATATTGTAATACTAAGTGAAACCACAAATAAAGATACCTCAAAATATTTTCAATAAGGAAAAATAATTCTAAAAAAATGTTCAAGTAACCCACATAAAAGCAAGAAAACATAAAAAGATGAGAAACAGAAGGAACAAGAAAAGCCCCATCTAATATTAGGTGTATAAATAGTATACACACACACACACACACACACTTAACTGTGACTCTACTGTATAAAATAACTGTCACCAATGACTCTCCTTTTTCCATAGCACTTCCTGTAGTGTCTCTAATCAAATGTATCTTCTCAAAAGGTCCTTTTAAAACGACTCCATCCAATTGTAGCTTCTTTCACATCCACATTAATCTTGGTCATATTGCCCTGCATTGTTTTTGTCATAGTATTTATTCTTCCCAGACTCCTTCTCCTCATTTCCCCTCTCCCCTCACTAGAAGGAATATAAACTCATGAGAGCAGAAGGCTTTTCTGTCCTGTTCAGACCTTGACCCCATCGCCTAGAAGAGCAGTACGGGAGAAGTAGTACATGGTGTATAGAGGCTTATAAAGTATTTTTGAATAAGTGAATGAATAGATCCAAGTAGTAGCATTTTGTAATGTGCATGTTTCATTGTACTGATTTATCATAAGTTAGTCAAATAGAGTCAAAGACTCTAATGTTTAAACTAGACAACAGGATATAATTTTTTATCCATTAACATTAAATTCTATACAGTGGGGGATGTCTAGGTGTCTCAGTGGTTGTCTGCTTTGGCTCAGGTCGTGATCCTGGGGTCCTGGAATCAAGTCCCACATTGAGCTCCCCATGGGGAGCCTGCTTTTCCTTCTACCTATGTCTCTACCTTTCTCTGTGTCCCTCATGAATAAATAAAATCTTTTTAAAAAAGAACGTTTTTCATCTATATTATAAACGTCAGGCCCTGGAAAGTACATAAAGCCCAGCAAAAGAGAAAATAATTCTCAGATGCATCAGTATTATCTTGAAAGGACCAGTGATACATGTGATTCCCTCATTTTGTGAAGACCCTGAGGGACAGGTCCAGCGGAAACCTTCCCGGGGTCAAAGCCATGAGCAGTGCACTGGGGAGTTTACTTAACACAGATGGAGGATGGCTAGAAACATGGATATGCAAGGATACCTTGGCAGAGGTAACCCAGTTGGCTGGCTGTTAGGATCCAGACAGGAATAAAGCAAACATCAGGGACAAGGAAGTCTGAGGAAAAGGCAACATGAACTCTGCACTTTGGTAGTGGACATAAAGCAGGTTGGTTCTTATGTCTCACAATACTTAAAAGAGGCAGAGAAAGCAAACAGGGGCAGTGTGACTCATCCTGTGTGTATGAGCTGCCTTCAGGTCCAGTGAGCATTTTAAGGCAAAATAAGTATAATAATGGGATTGTGATCATGGTTAAGACCACAAGCGTTAATGATATTTGCCTACCCAGAAGCAGTCAGCCCAACAGATGGTAAAATGGCCTATTGATGATTCCTTGGTTTTATAGTATATACTTGTGACCCAATTATCAGGTCCTCAAGGTTATCCAGCTTCTACATTTTTTATTATAGAAATAAGACTTTCATAAGCTGCCCAACTGTTTTGGCTCTTTAGACCCCAGGATCAATTAGCCACTTCCACAGTTGCCTGCAGCAACAGCAATTCTGATTACCATCCAGATCTTGAGGCTATCACAGTAACCCTGCCATTTTGTCTCTCAAATTAAATTCTGCTACTAGACCTGTTCCATCACAGAACCCAGGAGTCTCCTTTGATACCAAGGACCTCACTTTGGGGCACCCTTGATGCTTAGCACAGCAATGAGCACATATTTATAAGACCCTGGTGCTCCTCTTACCCACATTAATTTCTCGATGTGCCTCTTGGAGGTCAAGGTTGGGAGAATTAGTAAATGGATTACTCATAACAAACCTATATCATCACATTTCCTTAAATTCATATATTATGCCAAGGAGTTTTTGACAGCCCATCTTTGTATTGGCCTCTGTCAAGTCCAAGATTTCAGATAATAAACTGAACAGAAAGAAAGATACTGATAGATTAACAAAATCAAAATCTTGTTCATTGTAAAAACTAACAGGCAGACTTTTGCCAAGATGAAATGAGAATAAAAGAGAATCACAAATAAACATAAATGAAAAAATCAGCATAACACAGATACAGAAGAGATCCAAATATCTATAATTTGATACCAGTAAACATAAATTGCTAGAGAAACAACCTACTCAAACTTCCTGAATAATATATAAAGCAATGGGAGTTGCATGCAATCTCCTGCAGTAAGTTCCTAGTCTCCTCAGGATTTGTCACCTGTCTCTAGAATGCACATGGGGCATCAGGATCTCCAAAATGCTAGCCAGCTCTTCCTCATCCCACTGGTTGTTGCAATTTCATTGTTACCAGACTATGTCCAGATAGTCTGGACCTCTTCAGACTATTAGGCAGCCCTGGGGTAAACCTGAATGTGTAATGTCTGCTCCATGTTAATGCAAACCTCATCCAATCCTTTTTCCTGCATAGGATAAAAAGAATGTATCTGTCAAATCAAAGTCTATATCCTAGGTACCTGAGAGCATATAAATCTGCTTTAGGAATAGTATCACATCTGCTAGGAGGACTATTACTTGGTTGAATGTGTGTCTAGTTCATAGGCATTGTAGTCTGTAGGGCTTGCCAGGCTTCTAAAAAGCCTGAAGTACTGAAGTAGATAGCAGTGTGATATCAACTCTACCAGTGTATCCTTTAGGTCTTTTAGAATAGCACTCATTTCTTCATTTCTGCCACCCCCTCTCATTTTCCTCCCCACCCCCCCCCCGCAGTGCATTACTGTGTTTTATCTACTATCCTAGCCAAGGAGAAAGTCTTAGGGACCTCCATTTGGCCTTCCCCACTATGGTGAGCCTTAGCCAAAGACCAGGGATCCAGGGCAGGGTTTACTCCAGCTGCCAAGAATGCCAACCTGTCCAACAGCACAGAGCCTCTCTCACCAGGGTTGATTTGGCTACTGCCATTAGTGAAGGTCCAGAATAAGAGACCAGGGCTGAGCCCCCAGCACAGCACCATTCCCTGATGAGAGTAACTGGCACTTGGTGTCAAGTTGACAATTTTGCCCCCGAAAAGATCACCATTCTCACAATTAAAAACATGTTCCAGGTAGGGGTTTTCTTTCCTGCTCACAGGGCCTCAGCCAGCACCACTATCCAAAGGCAATTGCAGAATAATTGAACAGTATGGGATTCCTTATTCACTGTATCAGACCAGAAGCAACCACTTTGCAGCAAAAGGAGTGCAAGAATATGCCCAGAACAATAGGGTACACTGGATATATTACAGAACTTACCTTGGAGCAGCTGCTGGTGCTGCCAAGCACTAGAAAGGCCTCATGAAGGCAGAGCTAAAGCCCAGCTCAGAAGCAATATTCTTCAGGGACAGGGTGCCATCCTTCCAAAAGCAGCTTATAAGCTAGATAAGACCTTTTGTGTGTCCCCAAAGCGGACGACATGGGTCTGCATACCACTGTTTGGAAGAAGGGATGGCCTCGCTTGCCACCACCATTACCAATGATTACCTCCAGGGCACTTCATGCTTCCCATAACCACAACGCTGGACTCCAATTCCCAAAGGGAACACACTTTTCACCCAGAGATAGAGCAAATTTTCTGCTTAATTGCAAGCTACCACTCCAATGTGGGCATCATGCTCTTCGTGTCCAGGAGCCAGCAGGTCCCAGAAGTGGGGTCACTCTTTTCCCAGGGGTTCTTGATGTATCACAAGGATGAGGATGTAGGGCTACTTACACAACAGTGTGAGGAGGAATTAGTAGATTCAGATGATCCACCTATGTTTCTTGCATTTACCATCTGCTCAGGTCTGAGGAGGGCCTGGTAACCATGGCTCAGACCCCTGAGGAGGGAGGAGCCACCAATGCCAGCAAAGGCCACAGAATAAGGGACCAGCTGGTCTGAGCAACCTGTTTCCTCAGTCTCTCCTCAGATAGACCTAATGCTGGGGAAATGGGGCTCAGCAGTGAAAGGGATGGACTGTAGTGACAGATGGGCAATCCAACACCCTCCAAGGAAGGGCTTGCTGGCAGGGAGAGTGGCCAGCAGACTGCCTCCAGCTGCTGGTTTCTGTGAAGTTGGCCTCACTAAAAAGAACTGCTTGACCTGGGATGATCCTCTTCATAGGGCAGCAGGTCTCTGGTGACAGAGCACCTCAGAGCTGTGGAGATCTGATCATATTGGCCCAATACGAGATACTCCTGAGCAGCACATGCTCCAGAGCTCCCTACTGGTGTGGCCAGGGTCTCAACAGTCTCTGTGCAGCCTGACTTCTTCCTCTGATCTGCCCTTTGCTATTTATCCTGCCATCACATCACAGCTGTTGATCCTCAATAAACATCTTGCATTCCAAACTTCATCTCAGGATCCACTTCCAGAGAATCCAAATCAGGACACAGTCTGACCTCCTATGTTGGAATATCTGGGTTGTAAGTAAAAAAACACAATGTGAACCAGCCGAAGCAAACATGAGAATTTATTACAAGGATGTTCGGGATAGCTCACACAAGAATGCAACAATCAAGGCATGAAAAGGGTAGAGGGCAGAGGTGACCCCGGACATCAGGACCAGAAGAACCAGATCCTGGAGCACGAGCTTCCATGGCTTTGTTCTGACCTCTAACTGCGCCCCCACACGGTTGGGGAAACACGGAGAGTTACTATGCGTATATGTTACAGCTTCAGTCTCTCAAACTATACAATGAAGGGCAGTCCCAGCTTTCCAGAAGCTTTCTAATGGAAAAGAAAGTGACGGTTATATTATCACAGTGACAGACACGTGTGCAGGTTCATAAAGTGTGGACAGGCATTAACAAGGAACACAGACACTTCAGTGACAGAAGATGCAAAAAGTGCAGGACTGTGGAAACCTCAAGGAACTGCAGATAGTTCAAGGCCAAAAAAGCCATGTGCCAGAAGAATGCTATTCAGAAGCGATGGACAGGCTGGGTTGGTACAAAGGTCCACATTGACCATGTGGGCGGTACACTTCAAGTCCGCAATTAGCCCCATGGAATTTCAGCAGAGGAGTGCGAAGTCAGAATTGCATCTCAAAGCAACTCCTAAGCATGGAATCTGAAGACAGTCACAGTGGGGTGAGCTCATCAGCACTTCGGCCAGACTAGGTGCTGAACATCCAGCAGCTTGTTGGTTCAGTATTTGTAGACTAAGGAGCTGAGCAAAATTGACAACCTGATCATATACTGCTGGGGTAAGTGACCAAATGAGAGACGCCTCAGGTGCAAATTCCAAATGCCCGCTGATCTGTATTCTGCTGTTGGGTACGGGTGTTGCTGGATAAACTGGATACTCTTTGCGTTATTTCACCTCAGGCTCTACAGGACATGATCTTGAAATCAGAATATCCGGGACATATGGATCCATAGAGGTAACTGTATCTGATTACCAAATCCCACAAAGAAACACTGAACAGAAGGCACTCCTGGGACAGGTCCCAAAATTCAGACTTTACTTAGTAAAAGGAATACAATAGGAAGTGTCCTCTACAGCATTGTTTCCAGGCCAGTGGGGGAACCAGGTGGAGAGGAGAGAGGGGACATGCCTTCCACCTGGTCTACTTATACATCCAATCAACACAACCTCCAGTGCTCCAGGAGGCTGCACATATATCCTTCAACTTAAAACCAGTTTTCTTCTTGGTGTGGGATTTGTGGTGGGAACCAATGAGGGAAAATGAGGAGACACAGGTTTTTGTGATTTACCGAGATAATTTAAAAGACACTAAAAATACCGAATTTCAGAATCAAAGCCCTCTCGTGCGAGTTCTACACAACATGCCTGAGCCTCCGCATAAGGCTACTGTCAACATCAGCCCTCCCCGTCTGATAACTGGCTCTTTGGCGGGGGGAAAAACCCTGCTCTTGGGTATTCAACCAGTGGGGTAGTGCTGAAATTCTAATCTTTAGTGAGACAAATACTGGGTTTAACTGCTTAACAGTAAATGAAATAACCTAGAATTGAGGTGAGCAAAATTAGATCATGTTTAGACAATAGACTCAAAGCTCAATCCAAAAACTAATGAATCAAACTCTGGGAAGGGGAAAGAGAATCATGATAAATGAAAATTTAAAAATGGGAAAATCTACAAAGTTAAGACATCACCCTGTAACTATTCTATTACAAAAGAATTTGCTAAAAATACTTTAGGTTTAGGGAGAAAAGTAGGAAGTCCTTACATTTGAGTATGAATACAAATTTGGGGACCTAGATACTTTTAATCCAGTGCAGTGGTTTAGAAAACTACTACGTCCCAAATATTCAATAATGATGCTAAAATTGGTAACTAAAGGAAAAAGACACTGCTAGAATCAAAAGCGCAATACGCCATACTGATAAAGCAAGAGAGAAGTCTTTGATTTTTTCCAAGTCTGGTAACAAGATCAGGATTGGACTTTTCTGAATTTCACCATCATACAAAGAACACTGTTGACTTTATCAGGCAACATTGTAGAGATCACTGCAAAGTTCTACCTAAGGGGTGGTTCATGCACTGCCAAAGCGAACCCTACTTATCATGAAAGGTTCACAGTGGGAGTCTCCATGTAGAGGATGCAACTAATGACACAAGGTGGAACACAGATATTTCAAATGATGCAACAATGAAAATCCTATTTCCTAATACCTATCCAGTAATTACAGCAAGTCGCAGGAAGGCAAGACAGGCTTCTTTGAACACACCAAAAATATATTTTCCACCACAAAAATCTGTATTTTACATTATCTGAATGCTAACTCCTAAATTGGTTTTTCCATCTAGCTTTTTTACAAGAGATTTTAAGAAACACAAAAAACATATAGGCACACAGCATTGTGATACATCAGAGGGAAGTAACATACAAGCTATACTTGGGGACACAGCACTTGAAGTATGTCTACTTGACGCACGAAGGTGCCAAGCTGAGTGGGAGTAAGACTACACAGCACTACTGCCATCTAGCCTAAATGTTGAGTGATAGTTCATACACCTGCTTTCTTTTGATCACTCATGAGTCACTATAGCTAGGCTGTGGCTCCTACCTTTTAATACTTATTAAAAAGATTTTATATAATTGTTTCAGACTCTCAGACTGCACACTTCATATAATGTTGGCTTTTGTAACTGAAGAGAAAGGGCAGCAACAACAGATCCCTTTTATATGCCAATAGGCCATAAGGAAAAAAGATGTGCTATCACTTAAGCTGGATATTTAGCAGTAAGATGTATTATTATCAGCTACCATTTTCACTGTATCATTGAAACAGAAAAACCAGCAGCACGTATGTGTCCTGACATCAGAGGCACTACCAGGAATGTGCATTTCATGCTCACAATCACATTAGCATATGACTCCAAAATATGAGACACCCTGTGAGACACAGGAAAATAAGTCATTAATACCACTGAGAAATGTCTTATTTAGATGTTTCAAAGAGTCAATTTATTCACATATTCTTACTAAAGATTTTATTTATTTATTCATGAGACACAGAGAGAGGCAGAGACATAGGCAGAGGGAGAACCAGGCTCCTTGAGGGGAGCCTGATGTGGGACCCAATCCTGGGTCTCTGGGATCATGCCTTGAGCCGAAGACAGTCGCTCAACCACTGAGCCACCCAGGTATCCCTATTCACATATTTTAAAAGCTTCATTCTTCAGAGTGAGCATATCAACCATCAGAATTGGGATTTTTTTTAAAGATTTTATTTATTTATTCATGAGAGAAACACAGAGAGAGGCAGAGACACAGAGGGAGAAGCAGACACCATGCTGGAAGCCCGATGTAGGACTCAATACCGGGTCCCCAGAATCAGGCCCTGGGACGAAGGCGGTGCTAAATTGCTGAGACACCCAGGCTGCCCCAGAATTGGGAATTTTTGATAACCATGTCTATTAATAAAAAAGTACAGGTTCCCTTGATAGCTTTACTTCTAGGGGCATATTTCCAAGGTCTTTAAATTAGTAGTTTTGCCCACAACATGAATTTCCCCAAAATACAATGTGGTTGGATTACCTGCTGAAGATTGTCCCATATTTAGTATTTTAACTGAGCTTCATTTCTGAGAGTATGTTCTGAATGCACAACAGCTGTGATTTCTTGATAAAAATATTACATCACTTGCTGCATTCATGGGGTTTTTCTGCACTTACTGGACTAGTGTTTACCCCAGTGGGGATATTTCCAACTGCTAAGGAGATGTGACCTTTGAAAAGCTTTCTGACATTCACAGTATTCCTCATTGCTATTAATTTCCTGCTGTATGTCTGACAGTTTTCTGAAATCCACTGCATCTCACAGGCTCATTCTACTCTCAGGGTTCTTATACGAATAAGTTAATCTGCTGAAGGCTTTCCCTACATAACCTCAGAGTTCCTATCCTAATGATTACCAGACAGACACATAATGTGATGCAATTATTTATTTGAAAGATTTACCATAACTGCGTTTTCTGAAGTACGAAGAGGTGAGATCTCTGTCAAAGACTTGGTATGAACTCCACTCCTAGGAATTCTTCACTGTATGAGTTCTCTGGTGATTAATGAGCTGTGACTTTTGGGAGAAGGCTTTCCCACATTCATGGCACTGGTAAGGCTTCTCTCCTGTGTGAATTCTCTGGTGATTAACAAGCTGTGACTTCTGAGAGAAGGCTTTCCTACATTCGCTGCAGCCGTAGGGCTTCTCTCCAGTGTGTGTCCTCTGATGTGGTATTAGGTGTGATTTCCGAGAAAAGGTTTTGCCACATGCGCTGCATTCAAAGGGTTTCTCTCCTGTGTGTGTTCTCTGATGATTGATGAGGCTTGACTTCTCCCTGAAAGCTTTCCCACACTCGCTGCATTCATACGGTTTTTCTCCTGTGTGAGTTCTTTGATGTCTAATTAATTCTGATTTCTCAAAGAAAGCTTTCCTACAAAGACTGCATTCATAGGGTTTCTCTCCTGTGTGGATTCTCTGGTGAGTATTCAGTTGTGACTTCTGGGAGAAGGCTTTTTCACAATCCCTGCACCCGTATGGTTTTTCTCCCGTATGAGTTCTCTGGTGAGTTGCAAGACTTGACTTCTCACCAAAGGCTTTCCCACACTCCGTGCATTCATAGGGTTTCTCTCCTGTGTGAGTCCTCTGGTGTGATATGAGATGTGACTTCTGACAAAACGCCTTCCCACATTCACTGCAGACATAGGGCTTTTCTCCTGTATGAATTCTCTGATGATTAGTAAGGCTTAATTTTTCACTGAAAGCTTTCCCACACTCACTGCATTCATAGGGTTTTTCTCCTGTGTGAGTCCTCTGATGTCTAACAAGCTGAGATTTCCTGCTAAAGGCTTTCCCACATTTACTGCATACAAAGGGTTTCTCTCCTGTGTGAGTCATCTGATGGGATATGAGATGTGACTTCTGGGAGAAGGCTTTCCCACACTGAATGCACACATGAGGCTTCTCTCCCGTGTGAGTTCTCTGGTGGTTGATGAGACTCGACCGCTCTCTGAAGGCTTTGCCACATTCACTGCATTCATAAGGCTTCTCTCCAGTATGAATGGTCTGATGTCTAATGAGCTCGGATTTCTCAAAGAAGGCTTTTCTACAATCACTACATCCATAGGGTTTTGTCCCTGTATGAGTCCTATGGTGAGTAACAAGTTGCGACTTCCTGCTGAAGGCTTTCCCACACTCTCTACATTCAAAAGGTTTCTCTCCTGTATGAATTCTCTGATGATTAATAAGATTTGACTTCTCACTAAAGGCCCTTCCACATTCACTGCACCCATAGGGTTTTTCACCTGTGTGTGTCCTCCAATGTGATATAAGATGTGACTTCCGGGAGAAGGCTTTCCCACATTCACCACATTCATATGGTTTCTCTCCTGTGTGTGTTCTCTGATGTGATGTGAGCTGTGACTTCTGGGAGAAGGCTTTCCCACACTGGCCACAATCATAAGGTTTCTCTCCTGTATGAGTTCTGTGATGTGTAATAAACTGTGACTTCTGGGGAAAGGTTTTGCCACACTTCCCACAGCCATAGGCAATCTCTCTTATATGTCTGCTCTGATGTTTAATGAGACTGGATTTCTTAGTGAAGCGTTTCCTACATTCACTGCATTCGTAGAGTTTCTCCCCTAAACGAGTTCTGTGATATATGATAATCTGTGACTTCTTAGAGCTAATTTTATATTTATCATATTCATAATATTTTAACCAAGTATCAGTTTCCTCAGGCTTGGTATGCAGAAACAATTTATCAAATACACTTAAGCCATCTGGTTCTGTTTTTCCATAATCTGCTTTTGGAATAAGTAAATCTAAGTGACGTTTTAAAAGTAATCCATCTACATCATCTTCACTGTTTGATTTCCTTAAAGGAATCAAGTTCATGCTCAGATTGAATTTTTTTCCAAATGCATCACATTCATCATCTTGTTTCATATTTCTAAGCTTCTCCTGGTTATCTTGGTGCCATGTCATGTGACCATTTACTTGCAAGACTTGTTCTATAAAGAAAGAAAACCCTGTGAATGCTTCTATAGTTGTGTTTTTAAAGATTTATTTATTTTCGAGAGTGTGCAAGAGCATGCACGATGAGAGAAGGGGGAGAAGGATAAAAGAGAATCTTGAGCAGACTCCCCAAAGATTGTGGAACCCAACACAGGGCTCAGTCCCATGACACTGAGATCACAACCTGAGCCAAAACCAAGAGGTGGATGCTCAACTGACTGAGCCACCCAGACGCCCCTTCTATGGTTATGTTTACTGAATAAAAAATGAGCAATGCTGTTTGAGGGGATGAATGCTTTGGAAGCCTGTATCTCAGTCCCAAGTATGAGATCTATCCTCTAGGTATGGGGAGGAAAAAAAAGAAAATGCTATGAATAGGAATAAGATACAGGCAGTAGTATATTAAGTCACCTCTGGTTCTTGTCAAATAAAAGTTAATAAAATGAAAATGTAAAAAATACATCAAGAGCAAGGAGGAACAAAGAAAGGAAGGTGGAAGAAGTACTGATCCGATATTCTGAGGAGCCGATTTCATTCATGCCTAATAAGGATATACTGTGCTCTGGGTGACCATGGGGACAGGAGCCAGGAAACCCCAATGAAGCTTACATTCTAATGGAGAAGAAGACATAGAAAATCAACAGGTTTGACAGAAGAACTACTAAAGCCATTACAAGCTTGAAGAATGAAAAATCATTTGTGAACTTTTCCCCATTTTTAAGTTTTCTGGAAGTTTGAAACTCCCACTGCATTTTCAACATCATAACCAAGAAAGGCACGTCATGGAGCACATCATCTTTCAGGATGGAAACCTATCATGGAAAATACCCTCAGAGTATGAGGGAAAAAGAGGTCTGCAGGTTAAAGTCAGGGTCTACTATAGAAATATTAACTTTGAGATATAGGTTAGGAGTCTGAATAAAGTGTTACATAAACAGATGTGAGAGCAGAAAATGTAGTATTTATAAACTTACAACTTTACATTACTTTAAATGTGATATTGTTAGACTAAGGACACGTTTGGAAATTTTTACTTTTTTCCCACTAGGAAAATGGGACTGCTTTAGTTTTGGTTATTTATGGGATATCCCAGATACCTCAACTCTCCCCACCACTCTTCCCTGCTGTACATTAATCTATCTTATTATCTCAGTGAAATATCTTTCCAACTGATTTCCCTGTTTCCCGTAACATTTTCCATTCTGTGGATAGGTTAAACTTTTATAAATGTAAATCAGGGGGCACCTGGGTGGTGCAGTCAGTTTTGAACATCAGACTCTTGGTTTTGGCTCAGGGCATGATCTCAGGGTCATGGGTTTGAGTCCCATGTGGGGCTCTGACTCAGAGGGAGTGTGCTTCTCTCCCTGTTTCCCTCGGCCTTTCCCCCAACTCTCTCTCAAATAAATAAATCTTAAAAAAAAAAATTTTTTTTTTAAGCAGTGAACTTTATTTAAAATTACCGGAGTCAATCTAACTGCCTTCCTGCTGCTTATAAGTCAATGTATGACCTAGATCCCACACTGCCCAGCACACAGACACCCAAACACAAAGGCTTACTTTCTGCTTTCCTGTAGTCCCTAAACTTCTTCCTGACCTAATACATTCATATTTGTCAGTCCTTTAGGGTACACTTTCCCCCAGTTCACATAGCTCACTCAGTTTGGTCTTCATGTCTAGAACCCTGCTGTGGACTGAGAACTTGTGCACCCCACTTCCCCAAACCTGTATGTTGAAGCCCTCCCTACCTTTCTATGTGGATATATTTGGAAATGGGATCACAAAGGAATTAAGGTTAAATGAGATCTTATGGGTGGGGCCCTGATCCAAAAGAATTAGCATCCCTATCAGAAACAGGGTGAGCAGGCCTCACCCCCCAACTCCACGCACAAATGAAGAAAGGCCACATGAGGGCAAAACTGCGTGGCTACAAGGCTATCTACACACCAGCAAGACTATGTTCACCAGGACCTAATCACACAAGCTCCTTGCCCTTGGACCCTCCAGGCTCCAGAAGTATGGCAAAGCTTTCTGTTGTTTTTTTTGGGTTTTTTTTTTTTGGTTGTTTTTTTATTTTTAAAGCTTTCTGTTGTTTACCCATCTATGATATTTTGTTATGGCAGCCTACACAGTGCCACAAACTCTCCACTACATTTTCATCTACCTAACTTATTTCTTTTTTTTTTTTTTTAATTTTTTTTTTTTAAATTTATTTATGATAGTCACAGAGAGAGAGAGAGGCAGAGACATAGAGGCAGAGACATAGGCAGAGGGAGGAGCAGGCTCCATGCACCGGGAGCCTGACGTGGGATTCGATCCTGGGTCTCCAGGATCACGCCCTGGGCCAAAGGCAGGCGCCAAACCGCTGCGCCACCCAGGGATCCCCCTAACTTATTTCTATAATGGAAATTTAAGGATCTGGGTTTTACCCTGGTTATTTGCCAACTTGATTACTTTGATCCTCCCATGAGAAATTAAGTACAGTGTAGGCAGGTAACAGATCTCTAATGTTCACTATTGAACCCATGCCACTGAGCATGATACCTGAAAATATACATATCACCATCTATTCAACCTTCTATGAACTGCTCTAGCAGGCATGGCACCACTATGCAAACACATGATTACTTGCAAGGTAGTCCTTGGCTGCCATTTTGGGGAGTGTTCCCGCTTCTCCCCAGCTTATAAAAGGGGCTCCCTGTGCCTGGACTGTGTGCAAACAATTGTTCTTTGCTGAGAACCTGCTCTCCTGGGAGTCTGCAATGCTGGTGGTGTGTCAGGCATTAAGATGTCCACAAGCAGCCTCCAATAAAACCCTAGATGCTGGGTCTTTGAGCTTCCTTGGGCAGAAACACTAGAGATATTACTGTATTTTCTTTTTGTTGCAGGGAGCAGTGCAGGAAACCAATACTCGGAGTCCTCCAGACTATGCTCCTACCCTTCCCATGATGATGAAGCTCTCATTACATCCCTGTAATAAATCTCAGCAATATGGACAATGATACCTTGAGTCCTCCTCGTGACTCTCTGAACATGGTGGTGGTCTTGAGGACCCTGACACACAGGGCTTATTTAGTTAACTCTGACAATTAACTACACTGCATTGTAATGAAACATAAACGTTCAACATTTAGATGTTGAATTACCAGAAAAAGAAAAAAAAAAAAAACACCACACCAAAACTGGACGCAAATGTCTTCACTAAGTTCTACACTTCTGTAAGGTATATTTGAGGTTTTTTTTTTTAAATTGTGGATGCTATCAACAAATAAATGAGGGGCACATAAAAATCACAAGAGGTTTCTCAAACTACAAACTCCAGTCCTAGAATACTCAATTTTAAAACTACATGTTCACGACTCTACTGCATCAATTTTACTGGTAATTGATCCATAATGATTGTCATTGGAAAAACAATACCCAGGTAATCTAATGCAAACCTGGCTAAAAACACCTAAATTAAAACAATGGGCTTATGAAGAGATATTTGTTGAATGAATATTGTCTAACACATAAACGGAAATAAAACTATAAGCCTTGTGTTTATGCATGCACACAGCTCAGGGACCAACCACCTAAAGAATATTACATACACTGTGATCAGGTCTGGGATGGGACTTCAGAAAAATAGTGATAAAAACTCAGCTGGAGCAGTCAAAAACATTCCATGAATATGAATGCAGTGAAAACAGAGCTTATACAGTCAGGAATAAGTTAAAGCATAGCACGATCAAATGTTCAGATCCAGAGAAGAATAAATATTACATCTGAAAACACTGAGGAATCTTTAGATGGAACTGACCATGAGTTGGGGAAAAAAGAGTAAAGAGCTGACAGCCACACAGACTCAGACCTTGAAGATTCTGTAGGAGGAGGCTGCCCAGGCTACATTCAGAGGGACCGGCATCTTGGGTGGACTGTGGGCCCACCCCAAGTCTACCCTGGGCACCCACGTCTCTGCCCCAAACAATCCTTAAGCCACAAGTGCACGCCTGGTCTATATGCAGGGATTCTAGATATTCTGGAGAACTAACACACCCCCCAGGGCAAGGCTCAGGCCATGAGAAATGGGAGTCAGAGATTGAGAAGCTTCCTGGCCCCTCTCCCTGCAACCACCACAGGTCAGCACCCTTCCATCACACCACTACTAGTAACTAGTGTCCTCTCACTGCGTTCTCCCACTACCAGGTGGGGACCACATCCCCAGGAAATATCTCAGAGTCTGCTCTCGTGGGAACCCAAAGTTCCTATCATATAGCAGATAAGGAGGGCTGTACAATGGATCAGAAGAGTGCTGGTTGTTTTAGGAACTGAAAGACATGGTATCATTTAAGAAAACTTAGAAAACATTAGACTCTAGACCTATCGAGCAATTTGGGAAATTCAGGAATGAGACATTGTGGGTCTAGTTTTAGGTGTGACTTGAAGAGTTAAGTAAAAAGATAGTTTCCAAAAGGCAAAAGACTTAAATAATAAGAATACAAAGAAAGAACATTCAATGTACTACGTGGGGTCTAATCTACAGGAAGAGCACCGCAGAACCCAATCTTACAATGGGAAGAAAAGGACCAAGTGTGTAGGAGGAATTGGGGAGGACTTCCTTTCCTGCCACAAGGAGACTGAACAGAGTGGGCTCCACAGGGTACTTCTCTGGGCATCAGACACCCAAATGAGGGAAAAGTAAAGCTCCTGAATATACAAGCAGGGTGTGTTTGCCCTAGGTGAACAGAGGACAAAGATCAAACTTTCAGAATCCTTGACAAGAAGTCAAAGTCCCACACTTGACAGTCAAAACAATTCATGGCCTGGCCACGCTGGAAATATTTTGTTTTGAGCTACAAGCAAAGAAGCCACATCTAAGCATAATTGGAGTAACTCCTGTCAGTGGTTCCAAATCACCACTAAAGGTTTAGAGATTTGGAAGAGAGCTCTCACAGAAGTCAAGCCCTGACCAGCTGCCCTGATCAGCTGAGACTGAATTTCTGCTCTCCTGCATCTGACTGGTTCGCACACCCACCTGGACAGTCTAAACTTGAGAGTTCTCCAGCTCCTATCCACGGCTCTTCTCCTTGCTCCAACCTGAAGATGACATCAGGTTTCACAACTTCATACCCTGTTCAGGGGAAATCACAAAAGAAATGGCTCCAACTGCTTGTGCTTTAGGGCCTCTAAAGAACAAACAAGTTCTAGCATCAGGTGACACAGTGAATCTACCCATTTGTGTATCAACAGAGTAAATAATTCTCAAAGGCAATGGTCTCCCTGGTGGCTAAGAAACTTTGACTTCTATAATCCAAATACTAAACCTTTATACACCTCAGAGGCACTGGAGCCAGTCTGCCTGGCTCTTTCAGGTATTTGCTATCAATCCTTGGGAAAGTTACTTAAAGGGAGAATAATCATACCTGCCCCACAAAACTGCTGTGTAAATAAGTCCACAGATGAACAGTATGTGAAATACAGTAAGTTCCTAGCACTAGATGCTGAGCACTAATGGTACCACCACCACCATTCTGATAAGTTTCAGAGGCTGCACAATGTAAATAAGTCTCCATTACTGGAAGGCATGGTGCAGACGCTCTCCCTGGCATCATGGTCAAGGAATTTTTAATCTCCTAAATTTAGGCCCAACACCATTGGAAATTTCAGAAGCAGCATGGCTCTCAGAAACTGAAACAGTAAGGTACTGGGCACCATATGAGGTCCTCTGGGAGCTCTCTTACCCAGTGAAACGAGGCTGCTATAGTTCTCCAACATTACATCCTTGTACAAGTCCTTCTGTCTGCCATCCAGGAGCTGCCATTCCTTCTGCGTGAAGTCCACAAATAAATCTTCAAATGACAATGCTTCCTGTAAGAATACAATCCTGGTGAATCTGAAGCAATTAATACTACACAAGGTGCAAAAGGACTGGAGCTTGAGCACGTTACTCTCACCAAACAAGTTATGGAGAATAACTACTGTCTCTCCTTTGCCAAACATCTCTGGGATAAAATGCCATGTTGCACTCTTCCATCCATATAATACATGGCAACTGAAATTCATAATTTTAAACCTTCTGAACCACCAACAAAATACTTACTGAACCTCAACTTTAGCACCAGAAAGTGGTCCGACAGAAATATAATAAAACAATACCCTAATGAGCTATGTAGCCTTGTGGAGGGCTGCACACATATACATCTATTCATAAAACAAGGTATTTTTTTTTAAGATTTTATTCATTTATTCATGAGAGACAGATAGAGAGAGGCAGAGACACAGGCAGAAGGAGAAGCAGGCTCCATGCAGGGAGCCTTACGTGGGACTTGATCCTAGGACTCCAGAATCACGCCCTGGGCTGAAGGCAGGCGCTTAACCACTGAGCCACTCAGGGATCCCCTAAAACAAGGTATTTTAACAGTTGAGACAAAAATGAAGGGAAGGTGTAAGGTGGGTCAAAATGAGGAGAGCATCAGGGAATGTCAACTTGCGCTATTTGCAAGAGGTAAACATTGTGGTGAGTTTTTTTTTGTTGTTTTGTTTTTGTTTTTCTTTATTTTTTTTTTTAAGATTTTACTTATTTATTCATGAGAGACAGAGAGAGAGGCAGAGACACAAGCAGGCTCCATGCAGGGAGCCAGATGTGGGACTCGATCCTGGAACTCCAGGATCACGCCCTGAGCCGAAGGCAGACACTCAACCACTGAGCCACCCAGGTATCACTGTGATGAGTTTTAAAAGGAAAATAGCAATGCTTTCCACAAAAATGGGGGTGCAAAGGGATTCTGGTAGCCAACAACTCTGATGAGACCTCAAAACTGCTAGTGTTCAGGAGGTGCTAACAGTTCAGTTAGATAAGATCAAAGGGTGCAAGGTGGTGATTAGATTAAAGGCCACAGGGGAGGCATAGCTAACTGCCCTAGACACTTATTGTCTTTTTTAAAAAAATATTTTATTTATTTATTTAGAAGAAACACAGAGAGAGAGGCAGAGACATAGGCAGAGGGATAACCAGACTCCCCGCAAGGAGCCCAATGCAGGACTCAATCCCAGGACCCCAGGATCACACCCTGAGCTGAAGGCAGATGCTCAACCCCTGAGCCACCCAGGCGTCTCTTTTTCTTTTTTTAAAAAAGATTTGAAAGAGAGAGAGAGGGCAGCCCCGATGGCCCAGCGGTTTGGCGCCGCCTTCAGCCCTGGGTATGATCCTGGAGACCCAGGATTGAGTCCCACGTTGGGCTCCCTGCATGGAGCCTGCTTCTCCCTCTGCCCATGTCTCTGCCTCTCTCTTTCTCTGTGTGTTTGTCACAAATAAATAAATAAATTAAAAAAGAGAGAGAGAGAGAGAGAGAGAGAGAGAGAGAGAGTGCACGCATGCAAGCACCTGCTGAGGGGAGAGGGGCAGAGGGAGAGAATCAAGCAGACTCCACACTGAGCACAAAGCCTGACGCAGGGCTTGGTCTCACAACTCTGGGATCACGACCTGAACCAAAATCAAGAGTCAGATGCCCAAATGACTGAGCCCTGACCCCCCACAGGTTCCCCTGATCTAGTCACTTTCTTGTTGCTACCCCTCAGTTTGGTTCATAGAGTTAAGAGTCTCTCGTGATTTGCCTCCCTCTCCGTTTTCATCTTATTTTTTTTTAAGATTTTATTTATTTATTTGAGATACAGCATGAGGGAGAGGCAGAGGGAAAGGAAGAAGCAGAGAAGCAGACTCCCTGATGTGGGGCTCAATCCCAGGACCCTGAGATTATGACCTAAGCCAAAGGCAGACAATTAACTGAGACATCAAGATGCTCGTTTTCATCTTATTTTTCCTTCCCTTTCCCTGTGCTCAATTCCACACGAGTGAAATCATATGGTATTTGTCTTTCTCTGATTGACTTTAGCTCAGCATAATACATTCTAGCTCCATACATGTCACTGCAAATGGCAAGATTTCATCCTTTCTGATGGGTGAGTAAAATTCCATTTTATACACACACACACACACACACACACACACACACACACACACCACACCACACCACATCTTCTTTATCCATTTATTTATTGAAGGACATCTGGGCTCTTTCCACAGTTTGGTGATTGTGGACATTGCTGCTATGAACACTGGGGTGCAGGTGCCCCTTCGAATCACTATGTTTGTATCTTTGGGGTAAATACCAAGTAGTGCAATTGCTGAGTCATAGGGTAGCTCTATTTTTAACTGAGGAACCTCCACACTGTTTTCCAGGGTGGCTGCACCAGCTTACATTCCCACCAGCAGAGTAAAAGGGTTCCCCTTTTAATTTTACTTATGTTTAAGTAATTAAACAGTACAGGTAGCTAACGGCAACCCAAGGTATAAAAATTTGTCTTGTCTTTGTCCCAGGTTCCTGGGACAGAGCTTTTAAAGCCATATTAGGGCACCTGGACGTGCTCAGTTAAGACTCTGACTCTTGATTTTGGCTCAGGTCTTGTTCTGAGGGCTGTGAGGTCAAGCCGCACTTCAGGCTCCTTCCTGAGTGTGGAGCCGGCTTACGATTCTCTCTCCCCCTCACCCTCTGCCCCTTCCCCTACCACGCACACTCATGTACACACACTCTCATTCTTTAAAAAAAAAAAAATGTTAAAGCCTTGCTATTTCCCCAGTGACAAAAGGGTTTTTATAATTCATGATGGGCTCCTCTTGAGTTATGTTTCTCACAAAAAAAGGTAACTCATATTGGGCTCCTGATCTTCCAGAGGGGCACCGGTCAGAAATATCAACCATTTTATTTTTTCTTTAAAGATTTTTACTTATTTATTCATGAGAGACAGAGAGAGAGAGAGAGAGAGAGAGGCACAGACAGAGGCAGAGGGAGAAGCAAGCACCATGTAGGGAGCCTGATGTGGGACTCGATCCTGGGTCTCCAGGATCATGCCACCTGGGCTGCCCTCAACCATTCAATTTGAGGGTTGGGGCTTTCAAATGGTGTAAGCCCAACCTCAAGAAGGATGAGGAGGGCTAGAGATTTAGTTCACTTACATGGCCAATGAGTCAATCAATCACGCCTACATAATGAATCCCCAGGAAAAACTGCAGGGGGCACCTGGGTGTCTCAGTCAGTTGAGCATGTGTCTTCGGCTCACGATCTTGGGGTCCCAGGATCAAGCCTTGCATCAGGCTCCTTGCTCAGTGGGGAGTCTGCTTCTCCCTCTGACCCTTCCTCAACCCATTCCTGCTTACTCTAATAAATAAAATCTAAAAAAGAAAAAAAAAATACCGCGGACACTGGAGTCTAAGTTAGCTGTTAGGTTGGAGAACAGAAAGATAGGTGAAAAAGGGTAATGTATTTTGATTCCATCTCTGCAGCACCCCCCAGACCTCATCCTACGTACCTGTGCATTTGGCCGGTTCCAATATGTGTCGTTTCTAGTAAAACTGTTATTTTAAGTATACCACTTCCATAAGTTCTGAGAGCTGTTCCAGCAAACTAGAAGGGGTCATGGGAGCCCTCCAAATTTGTACCCAGTTGGTCAGAAAAGCAGGTGACCTGGGGACCCCAAAACTTATAGCTGGCAACTGAAGTGAAGGCAGTCTTGCTGGGGGACTGTGTTCTTAATCTGTAGAGGCTGTGTTAACTCCAGCTGGCGTCACACATGAGTGCTGGAATGCACCAGACAGAGAACAAGGCAGGCTGAGAGCAGGAAGTCAATGCCACTTTAACCCTCATGTCTGGAGGTCCTGGCCAGTACAACCAAATGCAAGGAAAAAGTACAAATACTGAAAGGAACATGTAAAAGATGTACAGTACAAATACTGAAAGGAAGATGTAAAAAGATGGTACAACTGCATATGAAAAATTTAAAATCCTACAATGATAATTAACTGTGCCTATTCTTCTTTGATACCAAAACTAACCAACTAGTCGTCTCTTAAAGATCAGTCAAGCCACAGTACAGAATTTCCAACTTAAAATCTTCTCATAAAAATACAGCTTTATTAGTTAATTCTGTAGACACTGAATGCAAAAATAATTCCTGTTTTACTAAACAATTATGGAATATGGAAGAAAGAACACAACCCTAAACTTTTTGATATAAGCATAACCTTGATAACAAAACTCAGTAAAGATACTCCAAGAAAGGAAAAGCAAAGGCCAACTTACACATGAACACTGATGTGAAACTTCTAAACAACATGTTACCACACTACACTGAACAATACAAGAGAAAATATATCAAGACTGAGTTGGTTGATCCCAGAAATTCAGTTGGTTTAACATTAAAAAAAAAAAAAAAAGATATTTGCTATCCTAACAGAGTGAGACACATAATCACCTCAAAAGATACAGATAAAGCACATTTGCAAATTAAAAGAACATACATGAGAACTACAACATTAAAAAACTGAACTAAGGTGTTAAAAAGCTTGTTTAAGTTACCAAAAAGAAGCCCTAGATTTTACAAGGAAGGAAGATAAAAGTATGAAAAAGAACAAGCAGAAGAAAAAAGAAAAAAAAAACTGAAAAGTATCAAGTTGTTATAAAAAGTCTTGGCAGGGGCACCGGACCGGCTCATTTGGCAGAGTACGCAACTCTTGATCTTGGGATCGTGAGTTCAAGCCCCACATTGGGTTAAAGCTTTACTTTACTTATTTTTTTATAGATTTTATTTATTCATGAGTGACAGAAAGAGAGAGAGAGGCAGATACACAGGCAAAGGGAGAAGCAGGCTCCCTGTAGGGAGTCCAATGTGGGACTCAATCCCAGGATCCCAGGATCCCAGCCTGAGCCAAAGGTGCTCAACTGCTGAGCCACCCAAGCAGGCGTCCCTAGAGCTTTACTTTAAAAAAAAAAAAAAATATTGGCAAACCAGGAATTTAGCAGAATTTCTTTTTACTAAGAAAAAAAGTACTGCTGGTATTTTTATGAACATAGAAAATCAGATCAAATCTAAGAAAATTATTAGAATTGATAAGCAGACTTAAGTTCCTTGATACAAAGTCCATGGGTAAAAACCTAGTACACTTCCATGTTTTGGCAACAAAATTTTAAAAATTTATACATAAAATTTAAAATATCATTTACTATAGAAATGACTAATTGCAGATCTGGGACAGAAAATTTACAAGCTAAGCCCTGACATAAGTTACCATGTGACAAAGCAACATTTATTTTATTTTTAAAGATTTTATTTATTCATGAGAGACAGAAAGAGAGAGAGAGAGGCAGAGACAAAGGCAGAGGGAGAAACAGGCTCCATGCAGGGAGCCTGATCCTGGGTCTCCAGGATCATGCCCTGGGCTGAAGGTGGCGCTAAACTGCTGGATCACTGAGGCTGCCCAATACTTCATTTAAAAGAGAGAGAAGCAGGGCATCATTCAGTGGCCCCTACTGAAATGCCTCATCCATCAAAGCAACAACCATAGAAGGTTCTTGGCATAACAAGGAGAGGCAAGCAGACCAGAGTCACTGCCTGAAAGACTACAAACCAAAACCTCTGAAATACTCTTGCCAAAAAGGTCACACTTGAATCGGATCAGATATTCTTTATCTGTGCTAACCCGTGGCTCCTGACCACTTGAAACATGGATAGCATAACTAGGGCTGGATTGAATCAATTTAAACAGTTGATGTGGCCAGTGCCTTCTGCACTGTACAGCACAGCTCTAAATCTACATGTGACAGGAGACAGAGAACACACCAGCAAAACCCCAAAAATACGAGATGACAAGATAAATCACCTGGCCTCTTCAATTAAATGGGACTAGAACAAAGAGCCAACAGGCAAGGAGGGGCATGAGAGGGCCAGATCAACTAATTACACTGTATGAACTTCACCAGATTCTGAGGCAAAGGAAGGTCAAACAATCTGCAGATTTTATGAGACAGCTGGAAATCTGAACATAGACTGAATTTGGGGATACTAACTAAGAAGCTGCCTTCACTGGAGAGAAGGCTGCAACTGAAGGAATCTCAAACAAAAAGTGACATGAAAGAAACAAAACACATTAGTACATACCACAGCCAATGACACCGAACCGCCATAGTTAAGAAGGAACACTTAGGGCAGCCCCGGTGGCCCAGCAGTTTAGTGCCGTCTTTGGCCCGGGGGGTGATCCTGAAGACCCAGGATCGAGTCCCATGTCGGGTTCCCTGCATGGAACCTGCTTCTCCCTCTACCTGTGTCTCTGCCTCTCTCGGTCATGAATAAATAAATAAAATCTTAAAAAAAAAAAAAAAAAAAGGAACACTTAGCAGTAAAACTAGAAACTAGCACAGAAATAGTCACAACAGTCATGGTCCAACTCCCTGGTCAGTAGGAGATGCTGTGATTGGCAGGGGCACACGTGGGACCAGCCTCATCTGGGCTCAGAATGTTCTCCTTGACCCAAATGGTGGCTTCATGGGTATGCAGTCGGTAAGGATTCATTAAGCTGCACTTTTACATTTTATGTACTTTTCCATATGTGAATTCTGCTGCACGATTAAAGAGGTGAATACATAAATTGTGATTACTAAGCTGTGCTTTGGCATTTTCACCTTGGGTCACTCTCTGGAAAACTGCAAAATGACCATAAGACCCACGGATTTACTACATTTCTCTGAGGGCATTATCCACATTCTATTATTTATTCAAAGACTTCATCAAAGAATGACCAAGAAATGTGTACTTTCTATGAACTAATTTACTTTTTCCTTTGGAAAACGCAAGTCAAAGAAACATTACTTATTACAACTGCTAAAAATCTGAAAACCAGGATTGTAGCTCAAATTAATTATGTAGACACTGTAGCTTATAAAAATTCAGGGAGCACGTGGATGGCTCAGTTGGTGAAGCATGTGGCTCTTGATTTCAGCTCAGCTCACAATCTCAGAGTTGTGACATTGAGCCCTACGTGGGGCTCCATGCCAGGTATGGAGTCTAAGATTCCCTCTGCCTCTGCGCCTCTCTCCTACCCTAGCTCACCCCTGCTCACACTCTCTAACAACAACAACAACAAAAATTCAAATCCTAAGATCTTCTCAAGACCCTATAGTTAATAAAGTTGGCCTCTGAACGTCACAGTTATGAACTGTGCAAGGCCATTACATGTGGATTTTTTCAATAAATACAGTATAGTACTAAAATGTATTTTCCTTATTTTAGTAACATTTTCTTTTCTCTAGCTTTATCTTAAACACAGCATATAATATACATACACAATATGCACTAATCACCTGTGACTGGTAAGGCTTCCAGTCAACACTAAGCTGTCAGTAGTTCAGTTTTGGGGGATGGATTTTCCACTGTGCAGCGAGTTGGCACACCATCATTCTAACTGCTCCAGTTTGGGTAACAATCTGGATCTTCTATTCTGAGGCTTTTTTCCCCTGATTTCTTAAGTTATACTTTTCTTTTTCATTAGAAGATATATATATACCTCTTCTAATCCCCTGGAAAATAATGGAGAAGAAACAATCACCTCACCTGTAACATGGTCGTTTTCTGTTGCCTGTGCAAGATGAGTAGCACATCTGAGATCTGCCCCACCCTGAGCCTCTATGAGGCCACTATGAGGCCGTGGCCAGGTCTTTCACACCATGAACAGGTTCCTGGCTCCAAGAGTGCCTTTACTGTGTCACATGAGCAGGCTCGCTTGAGTATCCAGGATCTGTGGACTTAGGAACAAAGGTACTTTATTTATTTATTTTTTAAAGATTTTATTTATTTATTCATAGAGACAGAGAGGGGGGGGCGGGCAGAGACACAGGCAGAGTAAGAAGTAGGCATCATACAGAGAGCCTGACGTGGGACTCGATCCAGGGTCTCCAGGATCACGCCCTGGGCTGCAGGCGGCGCTAAACCGCTGCGCCACTGGGGCTGCCCCAAAGGTACTTTAATTGGATATTCACACCACACCTAAGACCTGGGAACTCTTGCTAGGAACGAGGAATTCACAATCATCTGTGTTTCTTTTCTTTTTTTTTTTTTTTTAAAGGTTTTATTTATTCATTCATGAGAGAGACACACAGAGAGGCAGAGACATAAGCAGAGGGAGAAGCAGACTCCCCACAGGGAGCCTGATGTGGGACTCAATCCCAGGACTCCGGGATCACACCCTGAGCCAAAGATAGGCACTCAGCCACTGAGCCACCCAGGCATCCCTCATCTGTGTATCTGTATAACTGAACTAGGGCTATCCAGGGATAGGAACAGGATATAGTGCAAAAAGAGAACAGAAGTCTATGATCTGGCAGACAGATAAAGAAGTATCAGAAATAAAGTAATTCTGATATCCATTCACCGCTCACTCTGGACACTGCAGGATAAATTACTTTAACAGGCGCAATGAAGTACAAGTCTATTTTCGGCAGATGGAATTTTGGAGAGCTTAAATGGTTTGTAATAGAACAGATCTGAGGGATACCTGGGTGGCTCAGCAGTTGAACGGCTACCTTTGGCTCAAACCGTGATCCCAGGTCCCAGGATTAAGTCCCGCATCAGGCTCCCTATGAAGAGCCTGCTTCTCCCTCTGCCTATGTCTCCGCCCCTCTCTCTCTCTCTCTCTCTCTCATGAATAAAATCTTAAAAAAAAAAAAAAACAGAATTGAGTTTTTTTTATATATATATTTTTTAATTAATTAATTTATTTATGATAGTCACAGAGAGAGACAGAGAGAGAGGCAGAGACACAGGCGGAGGGAGAAGCAGGCTCCATGCACCGGGAGCCCGACGTGGGATTCGATCCCGGGTCTCCAGGATCGCGCCCTGGGCCAAAGGCAGGCGCTAAACCGCTGAGCCACCCAGGGATCCCTGGAATTTGCAATCAGCTTTCCCCTTCACAGGCTACACGGCTTTGGGCAAAAACAGACTAACTTCATCTTTATGAGCCACAGCTCCCTACAAAAGTCTTCTATAAACCTCTCAATTTATGTCTGCCAGCTCAATTTCTGATGGAAATATGTTAAAATCTCCCAATAAGATTATAAATTGGTAAATGTTACCTTGTTAATCCTGTTGATATTTGGATTATGTGTTTAAAGATATATTGTTGGACACACAACGGTTGTGGATTTTAGGAAAATTATGCTTTAATCACTGTAATGGCACTCCATACTCATGCTCCTTTCTTGGCTTTTAAGCCTCCTTTTTTCACTTGCTAAAATTGTGAGGATAAAGTGGACCTTTGGGTCCATTTATCAGTGAGATTTTGAGGAATATATGAAATAATAAAAGGAAAAGATTATTCCTTGTAATAACAGCTAAGATATGAATGCTTTCTCTAATTAAGGGAAAATACTAAGCACTTTATAATTTGACCCTCAAAGAGAACCCAGGGGGCATTTAACATAATCCCCACTTTACTCAAAGCAAGCAGAAGTCTTTAGAGTGACTCAGTGTGCCCCTGACTACATCGGTGTTTGGGAGCAGAACGGGAATACTGTTTTTCTTTCTTGCTACATTCGAGGCACTTACTACTAAAATCATGTGGTGTGTGTACTTACGCAGACACACACCATACATCCTCGAATTAGCTCTTATATCCGTGCACACATTCAGTCACTGTATTTCCACAGAAACACAAATGATGAATGGCCTGCTGTCCCCCAAATCATACCAAAGGACAGTAGTTAAAAAGAAAACTCTTCCCTTTCATGTCATGATTCAAACTTCAGCACCAGCTCAGAACAAGAAATGACAATGTCTTTACATCTTTAATAGTGAAAATACATGCATCTTAATACAGGAGCTGACATACATGAACACTACACAAGTTTTAGCTATAATCATTATTGCAACAGTGAAAAATGATGGCCAAATTCAGAAATGTATTCAAGCTACATAAGAAATAAGGGGTGCCTGGGTGGCTCAGTGGCTGAGGGTCCACTTTTGGCTCAGGTCATGATCCTACGGTCCTGGAACCAAGTCCTGCATTAGGTTACCCACAGGGAGCCTGATTCTCCCTCTGACTGTGTCTCTGCCTCTCTCTGTGTGTCTCTCATGAATAAATAAATAACATCTTTAAAAATAAATAAATAAATAAGGAACAACTATTACCTCTATCACCACACCACAATCATTCTTAGGAGATGGGAAAACCATTTAGATATACTTTTTTTTAAAGACTTTATTATCCATTAGAGACACATACACAGGCAGAGACATAGGTAGAGGGAGAAGCAGGCTTCCTGCGAAGACCCTGATGTGGGCACTCGATCCCAGGACTCTGGGATCATGCCCTGAGCTGAAGGCAGAGGCTCAACCACTGAGCCACCCAGGTGTCCCCCATTTGGATAATTTTAACAAAAATATAAGTATTTTTAAAACCACTTGGTTTCTTTTTTCCCCCTAATGTGCAAAGAGCATCTTTCCAAGTCAATAAATATACTTCTCTGATATCCACAGCATCTTCATATAAAACAATTAAAAGGTAGAAAATAAAATCTACTCTAAAAGAAAAAAACATAGAAATTACGCAGGAATATAAGTGGACAAGAGGCATGTTAAGACCCATATGAAACAAACTAAAACCACCAACAGGGACTACAAAAATAGGCTTCATAAATTTATAATCTGGTCTTGCTCAGGGATATGAAGACTTCACAGTGGAAGTAAGTTAGCCCCAAATGATTTATATCTTTAAGTCTACTGCAATCATATCTGAAAAAGGTTTTCTTTAATAAGCAATTCTAAGATTCATTTGGAAAAAAAAAGTGTGTGACTATCATAAATAAATTTAAAAAATTAAAAAAAAAAGAAATACAAAATAACTGAGGTGCCTGGGTGACTCAGTTGGTTAAACGGACTCTATTTTGGCTCAGGTCATGATCTCAGCGCGGTGGGGAGTCAACTTAAAGATTCTCTCCCTCTTCCCCTCCCCCCAACTCGCACGGCACTCCCAAATAAATAAATCTTTAAAAGAAATATAAAATAATCAAGGTGTACACGTTCATGTAACAGTAACATGTATTATAAAATCAAATAATTAAAAACACTTTTGACACCGTCTCCATAAAATAAGTAAAATTTAGTATGCAATAAATATGGCATTTCAAAGTCACAAGTAAAACTGGATTGTTTAATGAACAGAAATGATTAATACCTAAAGGAAAATAAAGCTAGTTTTGTATCTCACACATTACACAAAAGTAGTTCATTATTTTGTATTTCTTTTTTTTTTTTGTATTTCTTTTTTTAAGATTTATCCCCTCACCCCCAAACACACACACACCACAAACCAGTAAATTATACCTACAACAAATGTCATTTGCTTTGCATTATATCTGCTTTCACTTCATTTCACATAATAAAAATTCTGGCACTGTGACAAATAAAATGATGCTTATCATTCAAGCCATTTCCTTAGGCAGACAGCCAAATTCACAAAGTGACTTTAGTATTTCCTGTGGAATTGTTGTCAGACTATTCAGTGAAGTTTACTTGGGTTTCAATGAGAACTTACCAAGAGTAGAAAATTCCTGTCATCTTAAAATGATGTGTACTCATAGGGCACCTGGGGGCTCTGTCAGTTGAGCATCTGACTCTGAGTCTAGGCTCAGTTTGTGATCTCAGGATCCCCTGGAATCAGAATCGAGCCCGAGTTGGGCTCTGTCCTCAGCAAGGAGTCTAGTCTGCCTGAGACTTTCTCCCCCCTACCTTTGTCCCTCCCTGATTCCCTCTCAAGGAGCTAAAAAAAAAAAAAAAAAAAAAAAAAAAAAAGATGTAGACTTACTACAGAAATTACATAGAATTGAGAATTTCAGGTGAACAAGGTATGACAAACCATCAGTGTGGTAGGATTTCGAATATTTGTTACTCAGAAAAATGCTGACTCAATCTTATTCTAATTTAAAGAAATGTGTTTTTGAAGGTTGGCTTTTAAAGTTAAAAGTTTTGAGGTTATCTTCCATGTGTCTGCTCAGCAAATGAAGCCTAAGCTCCTCAAAGTAGGACGAGCCCAATCTAACCCGACTGCTCTGCCTACCTTGGCAACTTCTGTGACCGCTCTCCCATTTGTCTTCAGCACAAAGGGGCAACCTTCATCATCCTCCCGTAGTTCTACGCAGCATCAAGTTCCAAAGGAATTTCAGGGGAAAGGTAGAGGATAACAAAAAATAACATTTACTTCCTTACTATGACATATTCATCATCATACTGTCTTAATGCATCGGGCACCCACGATGAAGTGATAAGGCACAGAGGTTCAGCAACTTGCCCAACATCGAGGACACCCCTATGAAGTGGCACTTCTGGGCCACGGGTCTCACTTAGTGTCCCTGGAGATCTGCAGTCACAGCCCCTCCACAGGAGTGGGCAAAGGCCTCCAGAGCCTCTGTTTAAGTTTCAGTAGTGAGTGGTGCCATCCAATCCCCTGTCCACAAATATCAGCACCATAGCAGACTAGGAATAAAGACAAAGGAAGAAGGTGCCTGGGTGGCTCAGTTGGATAAGTGCCGGACTCCTGATCTTTGCTCAGGTCTCAATCTCAGGGGGGTGAGTTCAAGCCCCACCGACGTCTACACACTGGGTGTGGAGCCTACTTAAAAACAAACAAAAAAGGGATCCCTGGGTGGCGCAGCGGTTTGGCGCCTGCCTTTGGCCCAGGGCGCGATCCTGGAGACCCGGGATCGAATCCCACGTTGGGCTCCCGGTGCATGGAGCCTGCTTCTCCCTCCGCCTGTGTCTCTGCCTCTCTCTCTCTCTCATTCTATGTGACTATCATAAATAAATAAAAATTAAAAACAAACAAAAAAGACAAACAAAAGAAAAATATGTTCTTAGTAGCCAGCTGAAAAAACTCCCTGCAAGAACAAAATACAGTCCACTGTAAGGAAAGATATATATGATAGATCATAATGGCTTTAAGCAGCATACTCCCAATTTCGCTTTTTTTAAGGGAATATAAGGTGTACTAAAACTATAAAGCGACTGCAAAGAATGGACCAATGTTAACAGTAACTAGCTCCTGGTGACGGACCATGAAAGATTTTCATTGGAGTCTATTTACCAAGTTGCTCTAAACTGACTGCAGTGAACAGGTTTTAACTTTATAAAAAACAGGAGACAAAAAAAAAAAAAAAAAAAAAAAAAAGAGGAGACACCTGGGTGGCTCAGGTCATGATCTTGAGATCCTGGGATCCAGCCCCGCCTCGGCTCCCTGCTTTTCCCTCTGCCTTCCCTTCTCTTCCCTCCTCCTGCTTATGCTCTCTCCCTCAAATAAATCTTTTAAAATATATATATATACATACATACATATATATATATTTTTTTTTTAATGTTCAAGTCCTTAACCCGAGAACACAGCAGGCAAGCGGATTTCAGTCCACCACACCTAGCTGAACCAAAGTAAGCAGCAATTAAAATAAATGTTTTAATGACAAGAAACATCAGAACCGGGGGGGGGGGGGGAATCCTTTCTCTTCACGCCCTCATTTCCAGGCGATGAACCTGAGACCCCGAAATCGTTGCGTGGGGCGTCCACGCGGGGTGGGGAGTAGACGGCCCAAACCCGAGCAGGCCCTCAGCCCAGAGCCGCCGTGGCCGCACACACCGTTGACACCCACGGCGGCGACCGGGCGGCCGGGCCGGAGGGGGCCGGAGGGGGCCGCAGGGAAGGGGCCCCAAGGCCGAACCGCGGCCCCCTACGCACCCCCCCACGACCGCCACAGCCCGCCCGGAGCGGGGCCCAGAGGCCTCGGGACGGGGGGGGGGGGGGAGGGCCTCCCGGACCCGCGCCGACACCCCGCCCCCCCGGGACCCCCGCACGCCCCCCACCCGCCTGCCCGGGGGAAACCCGACCCCGAACTCGCAGCAACGCCGGCACCCACCCCAGGCCTCCGCCGTCGGACGCGCAGGCCCAGAAGACACGTGACCCGGCCCTGCGGCCCCCGCCCTCGCGGCCTCCAGGTCCACCAGCCTCCGTGCGCTGCCGGGGGTCCGCGGAGTCCTGATCCGACTGCGGCGGAGCCGGGGGGCGCGCACGGGCACGCGGGCACGCGCGCGGAACGCCCACGCTCGCCTCTCGCTTGGAGGCGAAGGACAAAGAGAAGGGCGCAACCCGAAGGCGTCAGGGGCTGCGCCACCGCGAGTACGCGTGCGCGGGAGAAAGACGCCTTCGTCGTTGCTGTTTTCTCTTTTCTTTTTTCGGGGGCTCAGTTTCACACCAGGAAGCCGCCTTCGAACTACATTTCCCAGAAGGCGTCGCGGCACGCAGGCGCCCCGGCGTCCGAGGAGCGGGGGGTCTCTGGGACCTCGCCCGCGCGGGAGCGAGGGGCGGGGACGCGCGCCTGCGGGAGACGCGGGGTGGGGAGGGGCGGGGTGCTACGGTTGCCTCGGACCGGGACTCCGAATCCACCAGTACGTGAAAAAAAGGAAGAAATAAAGGAAAGACAACAGGTTTGTGGATTCAGTTGAGGAAATACAAACAACATTGGTCCATTTACGCTAAGTCGATCGGAGTTAGCAGGAAAACGTGAGAAGGGCGGAATTCCCCGGAGTGCAAGTGTCAGATTTGACTCAAGTGAGCAGAAAACCACCTCATGGATACAAAAGAAGACGATTCCAGAGAAGACTCTGCAAAAACCAGCAATCACTGGGTTTCCAGGGAATTCTTCCGAACATCGAGTGATTGGAAAATTCTTACATATAAAACTTCCAGAGGAAATGGAAGGAGGAATGTTAGATACCATAAAGACCCAAATCGACATGGTTTGACTCAGACAAAACCTGATCAGGACGACCAGCCCTGAAATCCTAAGAAATTATCAACAGAGGAGCTGGTGATACCTCGGGATATTGGTTAATATTCCCCATCAGTAAGTCAAAGGGAAAATATAATCACCTCAATAAGATGAAACAAACATTTTATTCCTTCTTTTTAAGATTTTGCTTATTTATTCATGAGAGACACAAGCAGAGGGAGAAGCACGTTCCCTGTGAGGAGCCTGATAAAGGACTCGATCCCATGACCCCGGGATCATGACCTGAAGGGAAGGCAGATGCTCAACCACTGAACCACCCAGGCATCCGGAATGAAATATTTTAGACCTAGAAATGCATTCTAGAGCTTTTAAAAATAACAAATTAGGGGAAAAAATCATTTGCTGATTTAACATTTAAAATATAGACATTAGGGATCCCTGGGTGGCGCAGCGTTTTGGCGCCTGCCTTTGGCCCAGGGCGCGATCCTGGAGACCCGGGATCGAATCCCACGTCGGGCTCCCGGTGCGTGGAGCCTGCTTCTCCCTCTGCCTGTGTCTCTGCCTCTCTCTCTCTCATTCTATGTGACTATCATAAATAAATAAAAATTAAAAAAAATAAAATAAAATATAGACATTAATTATAAAGCTGGTGTGCTGCTTAATATTGGAACATCAGGAGGACTTCATGGCAGGATATGGATAGCTGAGACGGATTTTAAAAATTGGAGTAGTATTTGAAATGCAGAACATATTGGTAATGTATTTTGGTGATTACTGCTGAAGTATATATATTTCCCATGACTGGGGTTTTATTTCATAGATTGTCAATTATCCTTTGCTTATTTTTCTGTCAGGTTAACTTTTTCTACTAAATTCATGGAATTGAATGTATATTATTTACTAATCCACAATACACAACATGTTTTAATTTTTTTGTTTATTCCTTGTCTATGAACTTTGTTTATAAAAATATTGGTCCTGGGTGGCTTACTTGGTTGAGTGTTTGCGCTCGGCTCAGGTCATGATCTCAGGGTTCTGGGATCCAGCCCAATTGAGAGCTCCCTGCTCAGCGGGGAGCCTGCTTCTCCCTCTACCCCCCCTCCCATTCATGCTCTCTCTCTCTCTCTCAAATAAAATTTTTAAATGTCTTTTGAAATAAATAAAACTAAAAATGTTGGTCCCTTAGATTTTAGTTTAGTTTTTTTCTTTAAAGATTTTATTTATTCATTTGAGGGAGAGAGAGAGAGAGAGCGAGAATGAGCGGAGGGAACAGTAGGGGGAGCAGCAGAGGGAGAAGCAGAGCCCCCACTGATCAGGGAACCTGACAAGGGGCTGGATCTCAGGACTCTGGGATCATGACCTGAGCCAGAGGCCGATGCTTCACTGTCTGAGCCACTAGGCGCACCAGGTTTTAGTTTTGGCATTATAAAATATATCTAGATTTTCGTTTATGGTTTTCTTATGTGTTTTGTTAAGAAATCTTTCTCTTGAGAGAGAAAAAAAAAGACATCTTTCTCCATCTTGATATCATAAAATATTTCCTTGTCTTATTGTCTAATAATACATTAGCATTCTGCTTTGACATTTAAGTTTTAATCTTTCTGGAGTTGTGTGTATGCATATAGTGTGAAGTATTGATCTAATTTCATTTTGTTTCCAAATGGGAAGCTAATTTCCTAATCCCAAGTATACTGGTTTGCTAGGATAGAGTAGGCAGACAGGAGGGAGACGGCGGGGGGGGGGGGGGTAGATAAACAGGTCACATGGTAGAAGGCTGAGGGCACAGCCTCCTGATCTTGTGGTTTTCAACATCTTGGCCTTGTGCCTTCTAATGCCCTGGGGCTGGCAGACAGAGAGCCACAGTTACAAACTTGTGCTCTCCTCTTCTACTTCTGCCCCCAGGATGACCGCTACGGTTATTATAATTCCTATGCAAGGTGGCTTCAGCTCCTCCACCTTACCTCCCCTGCGGGGGAGGATGGCCTAGAACCCTGTAAAACCAAAATCTTCATGTCCTACACAAAACATGAAAAGACAGTCCTGACCCCGGTTCAGCCGCCCTCTGGACCTGCCTGCTCTCCCTTCTGGGGACAGTACTGTCTACGCTGCGTGGGGCCTGGTACTTCCCGCCATTGGGCTGTCTTTATCTGTGAGAAGATCCTCATGTAAATCTTCCATGGGGAATCCAGGAACCAGACCTCCATTCACACAATGCCCTGCACTGGGAACATTAGGACTCCCATAACAAAGTACCACAGACTGGGTGGGGTAAACAAATTTGTTTTGTCAACATTTTGAACATGACAAGTGTGAGATCAAGATGTTGGCAGATGTGGTTTCTTCCAGGGACTCTCTCCTTGGCTTGTAGGTGGCTATTTCCTCACATCGTCATTCCTCTGTGTGCGTCTGTGTCCTAATCTCCTTCTAAGGACACCAGTCGTTTCAGATTGAGGTCATCTCTATAACTCTATTTTACCTTCATTTTCTCTTTAAAGCCACTGTTTCCAAATACAGCCACTTCCTAAGGCACTGGGGTTAGGACTAAAGGAGTTTGGAGGTGGGGACACAACCCAGCCCATACTGCCAAGTATCAAATCTCCCATTCTTTCTTCAATATGTATGAATTTATTTCTTTTATATCCCAAATTTCCATGTGTCCAAGGTATTCTTTCTGGGATACTTTCTGTTCCATCACCTATTAGTCTATCCCTGTATGAATATCATTGTTTTGTTATTCCAGCTGAAATGGAAACCTCTTGTAGAAGGGAAAGGTCTTCTAACTGTGCTTGTTCATGATTGTCTTGGACAGTTTAAGACCTGTAAACTTTCTTTTTTAAAAAAATTTTTATTTATTTATGATAGTCACACAGAGAGAGAGAGAGAGAGAGAGGCAGAGACACAGGCAGAGGGAGAAGCAGGCTCCATGCACCGGGAGCCCGACGTGGGATTCGATCCCGGGTCTCCAGGATCGCGCCCTGGGCCAAAGGCAGGCGCCAAACCGCTGCGCCACCCAGGGATCCCAAACTTTCTTTTTCATGTTAAGATCTGTCTCGTTTCAAAAAAAAAAAAAAGAAAAAAAAGATCTGTCTCGTTTCAAGAAAGAAAATGCTTTTATTGTTTTGACTGGAATTATATTAAATGTATATTTTGTAAATATTAGTATTTTATTACATTTACTCCATCAATGTAGTATATCTTTGAATTTTTCAATTTTTAAAAAATTAAGATTTTATGGTTTTTTAATTTTTAAAAAAGATTTTATTTATTTGAGAGAGAGAAAGAGAGTGTAGGGAGAAGGAGAAGCAGACTCCCTGTTGAGCATGGAGCCCAATGCGGGACTCCATCCCAGGACCCTGAGATCATGACCTGAGCTGAAATCAAGAGTCCAGTGCTTAACCAACAGAGCCACCCAGTTGCCCCATTTATGTAAGTTAAGAGACCTATTCCTAGATAGTTTCCAACCTCGTATCAGAGGTTTTCCTAAAAGGCTTATCATTCCTATTGATAATATGAACATGAGTTTTTTTTTTCCCTGGTGTATTTTCTTACTGGCTAATAAATGTGCTATGGACTGAATATTTGTGTGCTTCCAAAATTCCTTTGTTGAAATCCTAACTCCAGTGTGGCTGTATCTGGAGATGCACACCTAAGGAAATTAAGGTTAAATGAGAGTATTTCCATCTTTTCACCCAAAATACAACCGTGGGCCACACACAGGAAAACTGCTACAGATACTCCTGTTCAGTGCTGGGGACAAGAGGATCCCCACACAGCAGTCACTGGTCCATAGAAATTCCTAAATCCCACTGCATACATGTTACCAGGTACCAACCGGTCCTGTTCTCTTGGGGTTCTTCCTAGCTCTTGGCGGCACCTTTTGGATCTTGGTTCTGCCATCTGAGTCATCATCTTTCCTTATTCATAGGAAGTGATCCTGTTTGCAAGTGACCTCAGGCTCCCTCCTCCAAAAAGTTGAGTCCAAAGATCTCTTTTTAGTTTGTAGTTTGGTCCTTTTCAATCCAAGTTATATCACTGTTCAAAACCTTGTAGTGTGTGTGTGTTTATACTATTTTTCAGTTTACACTTAGCTTTTTTTTTCTTTTTTTACTGTAAACTGAGACATCATAATTTTTTGTTCTGGGTTTTTCTTTCTTTTTTTTTTAATTTTTTATTTATTTATGATAGAGAGAGAGAGAGAGAGAGAGAGAGGCAGAGACACAGGCAGAGGGAGAAGCAGGCTCCATGCACCGGGAGCCCGACGTGGGA